CATCATCTAATGACAACAGACAATATAGTGAGAATATATCACATGAGTAGTGGTTGAGTAATAATAGTAACTGCAAATATTATGTGCTAGGTATTATTCTAAATATTGTTTGTAAAATTTATTTAATCTTCATCTTCAGGATCATGCTCAGTGAAATAAGCCAGAAAGAAAAAGAAAAATACCACATGGTTTCACTCATAGCAGGAATTTAGAAAACCTAAATAAGGGACCAGGAAAAAGACTAATTATAATAAAGTAAAAATCAAAATCAACAAGCAACTATAAACCAGAGACACACTACAGGGGTGGGAGGGGAGAAGGGGGAGAAGGGAGTAGGATCAAAACCAGGGTGGTGGGAATTGGATGGGGACTATAACCAAGATGAAAATGCATACATTGTACAAAAATGAAAAATGATGTAAAAAATATACAAAATTAAAAAAACAAAAAAAAGTCAAAAAAGTAAATAAAATCACTTATTCTCCAAAAAAAAAATCTTCATCCTCTGAAATTACTACTATTCTATCATATCAGATGGAGAAATGAAGTTACAGAGAGGTTAAGTAATTCCCTCAAGGTCACACAGCAAGAGGTAGAGCCAATGCTAATTTCAGTCTGTGCTCTTAACTACTATGCTATTACTCTTAATATTTAAAAAGAGTGCTATTGAAGAAATATAGGGGATTTCTTCAATACTGTAAGGATTGGGGCTTTATCTCAAGCTCAAGCATGAACCACCTCCTTATTTTCCTGAAGTGTATGTACTAATAGGATCAGTAACAATACTTTATTGCACTTAGTTGCTTGGATTTCTGCTCTCTGTTAACCTTTATTAACTTATTTTAAGAGTTGTATTTGAGCCACTAAATTTAGTTTAGTGCTTGGCATATAATAAATAGTTTTTGTTGAATGAAAAAAATCAGTATGACAATTAAATAGCTTAGAAACTGTCCAATGGTATAAAAACTTTCCTGTCAGGTAATGAACTCCTGGTCATAGGCAGTATTTAGACACAAGCTAAATGCTGAAGGGATGCTACAAAAGGAATTTCCATGTTCTGTGGAAGTGGAAGATTAAACTTCATTTCCCCATCTGATCTGATAGTATTAATTTCATAGGATGAGGATCCAATAACTTTACAACTGATCCTACGATCACTTAATTATGTCTTTCCCAAGCATTTGGTTCATATCTACTTTGTGCCTAGTGTTCTAGACTCTGAAGATAAAAAGGCAAAAGTTGCCTAGTCAGTATTATAAGGAGCTACTAGTCAGCAGATAATTAAGGGAACAGCGAGTCCTCCAGATCTGTGGGTTCTGCCTTGGTCATTCCAATCAAATGTGGATTAAAAATACATACTATAGGGCCACCCTGGTGGCTCAAGGAGTTAAGCATCGCACTATGAAGCAATCTACAGCTTCTGGAGCATGAGTTCAATCCCTGGCCAGCCAGGGAGCAACCCACATGGCGAGGCAGAATTCTCCTGTCTCTCCCCCTGCTCCCTTCAGCAGTGTATTTCAGTCAGTCTGCCTTCTGTTCCCCACTCTGTCTCTGGTGGATCCTCTCACCCCCCTGCATCTCAGGCCTGTACCCCAGTTCTTGTATGCATAAATAAATCTTTACGAAAAAGAAAATGCATACTATATAGCTAAACCTACTATGGTTGCATCTGGACTGAACATGTACAAGACTATTTTTCCTTGCCTTTATTCCCTCAGCAATACAGTATAAAAACTAGTTACATAACATTTAGATTGTATCAGGTATTATAAGGATCTAGAAATAACAAAGTGTAGGGGAAGATTTGTGTAGGTTATAAGCAAATATGCCATTTTATATAACGGACTTTAACAACAACAGGTTTTGGTATCCATGAGAGTGCTAGAACTAAGAAATGACTGTATAGCTATAAAGTTTCAGTAGATAAAAACAGGAAAGGACAGATTTTAGAGATATCTTGAGTAAATGGGCAAGGGATAAAAGAGCTTGTATAGGTAGACAACTAGATATAAGGGATGACCCTAAAACCGCCTGCCTGAGAAGGGAGATTAGGGAGTGAAGACCACATACTGTGTTGTTATGGAGGAATTCCCCCAAAGGGACATATATTACAGAGCTGACTGTAATCAGTAGAGATCAATTTATTTGTGAAATCTTTTGAAATTCTTGGAAAAATGCTCCTTCTCTCTCAGTCTCCAAAACCAATGAAAATGATTTAAGTCCATCCTTCTCCAATTCCCAACCTGTTAGTCCCTTTAGGAGCATTAATATGAAATGGAAAGGCCTTTGTTAGGTGATTCACTAGAAAGAAAGCTTTATGGTCACTAGAACAAGGATGTAACAGTTAAGTAAAAAGGGAGTCTCTGGTTTCTTTTCTGATTCTTGTGCCTAGAATCTGCTAGGCAGTTGGGGACCAGTGGTCTGTCTTTTTATTACCCAGGTCCCTTGTGCTGCTGCTTTTCTAGACATATCCAAATGTGTCTTGACACAGAATCAATTTCTCTAGCTGGGACATGATACCTAAGTAGGTGGGGAATTCCCCTGTTTTGTTTAAATCATAGTTGTCTTTGAGTTTGGCTAACATGTCCATGATTAGTTTAATGACAATTGGATTTTTTTCTTTTACACCATATGCTACTTCATGATTCATCTGCTTTGCGTCTGTTGCCTTGAAGGTGAAACAATTTCTTCCAATGTTGATATTTCATAATCTCCTAGATAACAAGCAAACAGATAGATATAGCCTCTTTGGAAGTTTTAAACATTTGGAGATGAATGAATTATACTGCCACAAATGGAAAAGAACAGCGTAAAATCATAATGGTGATATCCAGTCATCTTTTGTTGTGTAGTTGGATAAAACTGATAAAGCCCAGTTACTTGACTATGTTTATCTTCCTTTGAGGAATTGTTTCTGGTATGTGTTACTTATGAATTTTAAAATTCAACATTTTACTGTAATTGCTTTGATTTACATGTATTTTAATGTACTAAGCTGACAATATCTTTGTGGAAGTGGGCTTTAAAATGCCAAATAAATGCTAACATACACCATTTATATTGTAATGGTGGCATCTTTTCTGTATTTAATGAATAGCAATGACTAGTCAAATCTCAAGAAGTCTTTTAACTTGTAAAAGGGAATGGAGGCATCACACGCCCAGATTTCAAACTATACTACAAAGCCTTAATAATCAAAACTGCATGGTACTGGAATAAGAACAGACACACGGATCTGTGGAACCAAATAGAAAATCCAGAAATAAACCCACAGATTTACAGTCAACTAATCTTTGACAAAGGAGTAAAGAATATGTAATGGAGCAAAGAAAGTCTGTTCAATAAATGGTGCTGGGAACACTGGGTCACTACATGCAAAAGAATGAAGCTTGACTACCTCACACCATGCACAAAAGCCAACTCAAAATGGATTAAAGAACTAGACATAAGACCTGAAACCATAAAATATAGAGAAGGAAATATAGGCAAAACACTACATGACATGCACCTCAAAAACATCTTTACAGACACATCACCCTAAGCAGTGATAGTGAAGGCAAAGATAAACAGCTGGGACTACATCAAATTAAAGAGCTTCTGCACAGCAAAAGAGACAATACCAAAACAAAGAGAAACCCCACCGACTGGGAGAAAATTTTTGCACACAACACTAATGATGAAGGACTAATCACAAAAATCTACAAAGAGCTGATGAGACTCAACAAAAACAAAGAACATAATCCAGTCAAAATATGGGCAGAAGAGCTAAAAAGAAACTTCTCTGAAAAGGAAATGCAAATGGCCAACAGGCATATGAAAAAGTGTTCAACATTACTTGCAATCAGGGAAATGCAAATCAAAACTACAATGAGATACCATCTTACACCAGTGAGAATGGCACATATTAAAAAAACTAGCAACAACAAATGTTGGTGAGGAAGTGGAAAATAAGGAATTCTCCTACACTGCTGGTGGGAGTGCACATTGGTCCAACCACTATGGAAAGTTGTATGGCGATTCCTCAACCTACTTAAGATAGAGCTTCCATATGATCCAGCAATTCCACTCCTAGGTATTTACCCAAAGGACATAGAAACATTAATTCAAAAGGGCACCTGCACCCCTATGTTTAAGCAGCACTATTTACAATAGCTAATCTTTGGAAACAACCCAAATGCCCAAAAATAGATGACTGGATCAAGAAGATGTGGTACATATACACCATGGAATATTACTCAGCAATCAAAAAAGATAAATTCATGCCATTTGCAGCAACATGGATGGAGCTGGAAGGGCTCATGCTCAGCGAAATAAGCCAGAAAGAAAAAGAAAATTACCAGATGGTCTCACTCATAGCAAGAATTTAGAAAACCTAAATAAGGGACCAGGAAAAAGCCAAATTATAATAAAGAAAAAATCAAAATCAAGAAGCCACTATAAACCGGAGACACACTACGGGGGTGGGGGTGGAGGAAGGAGAGATTAGGGTCAAAATAAGGGGGGTGCAATTGTATGGGGAATATAACCAAAATGAAAATGCATATTTGTCCAAAAATGAAAAATGATGTATGAATTATATAAAATAAACAAAAATAAATATTTTTTTTAAAAAAAGAAGTCTTAACTTGTGACATAAATAGCAATCTTTCAGAACCTTTTAATGGAACACACTGCAATTCTGAATACAATGCAAAGGAGTTATTTCTTCACTGGTACTTCCTAAGTACTAAGAAGATTAGAATTAGACTTCTAATAAATATTATCTGAATTCATCTTTTGCAGATAGTTTTAATCAGTAAACTTACTGTGCTGCATCACTGTATCACCTGTATCTTTTCACTCAGAATGTCCATGGTTTGTTTTTGGTGAAGAGAAACTATACTTTCATGATATAGATGCATGTGTAAATATCTTTATAAGTTGTATATTTGGAGAGAGATTTTTCAAAGATTCTAATTCTCAGTATATCTTTGTCTTTCTTCCCCTTTACTTGGTTTTAGCTCCTCTTTGGTTCAGGTGTGCTGGTGTCCCTAAGTCTTTCTGGGCCTCAGCTGGAAAGAGTGGTGATTGACAGAAGCCTGGTGGGAAAGCTCATCTCAGACACCATCAGTGATGGTAATTACCCCCATGTGCAAACCAATTGCCTACATTAACAGTGGGGCAGGAGAGATACTGTGTCAACAGGTAGACTAATTACTACCACTGGAGACTTGCAAACGCAAGTAATTGCTTGTAATAGCATAGTTCCAACCTCTGGGACCAATATAAGTTTTGACTATTTAATATAAAAGTTTTTATTAAGTGTTAGACATATTCTGAGTATTTTTTGCTCTTTAAAAAATGTAAATGTATTTTCAAACAAGGTTTTTTGTTGTGGTCTTTCAAAATTAGCATCACTGACATTTTACGTATTTTCCATTTTCAAATAAATTTTGAAAAAATACCCTAATGTATCAACATAGCCACCAATTAAAAAGATCTGTGCTTTGGCTATTAGGGGAAGATTCTTTGTTACTAAAGTCTATGAATATTAACTTACATTTGAGAGAGTTTTGGCAGTATTTCCAAATATCAAAAACCAGTGTCAAACATACTTTTAGATAAATCTGGATCTGCTTATGTGATATCACAATCAGTATGTAATTGCTCCAAAACACATAAGAAAATATTTTAATCCTGTTATTGAAAAGTTATGATACTGGCAAAAGCTCCTCTGCTGTGCCAACCTACCTTTCATTAAATTCAAAACACAACCTTATCAAGAGTAGTTATTTCCACTTTACAGGTAAGGAAATTCAAGATGAGATGCTAAGAAACAAATGAGATACTAAGAACAGCTCAAAAGTGACTGAGCTGAGATCTGAACCCAGGTGCTAGTTATGCTACCCATTTTCTTTTTGCTGTACTATACCCCTAAAGTTTTAGAAGTCTTTTATCCAAGGCAAGAAGTTCTAAGAAACAGATTGCATTCTCACTAGAGATTGAAAATTGTCAGTATTTTAAATTGAATAATCAAGAATAGCATGTTTTTGTGGAGATGATAGAGGTCTTCCTTTTGCTGTGTGCTCTCATTCGCTACCTCTGAAGAAAGAATTTCATCATCTTAAAAAAAACACTCTGCAGGATGGCTATAATTAGTATCATTCCAGATGATAATAAGCTGGAGGGGTAGGATGGAAATGTGCCATTTTCTTTTCCTTACCAGGAATATGCTGCTAAGTAAACTTCTCTTGTGGAAGAGATTCCGTTCCAGATGTCTAATATTTGACCCCTTTGTTGCCACTGCAAATAAAATAGTGACTATGATGATTTTGTCACTCCTCTACAAGAATTAAAAGGAGACCTCCAACACTATTCATGTCTCTGAGATATCTTTTTTTTTTACTTGTTTCCTTTATTTATACCCCAAATAATACACTCTCATGAGACCATGATAACAATGTGATTTCTTGGCAGTTCTCCAGGTTCTCCTGTAATTGCGTAGCTCTACTGTTGGTTACTGCTTGCATAGCCAGGGTTGTGCAAATAAAGAAAAATATGTAATTTCTTTAAGAATGAAAAAACATTTCTCAAATTCCTATTGTGTTTGTATCAATTTTACTTAACATTAATGAACATTATGTATTGCCTGTGTGCTTTAGAAATAAAACTAGGAATAATCTTCATTATTAAATATTAATTTATATAATATACAATTAACATGGTATGCTTAATTTCATTTAACCTGTATATCCTCAAAAGGAAGTTTCATTGATGAAATTTTTTTTATTTTTTTATTTTATTATTTTTTTTTGTGGGACCCTCGCTGGTGGCTGGGGAACGAACCGGCGCTGCAGAGACTGCGGGCAGCCTCGCAGCCCAGTGCTCAACTGCTGCGCCACCAGGGGAGGCCCCCATTGATGAAAATTTTTAGAATAGAAAAAGCAAGATTGGTGGCTAACACTGAATTGTATCCCCTAATGAATCCAATTTATTCTTAGATGGTTTATGTCCTATATACACCTATAAAAGGCTGTGCACAAATGTTTTTATCCTTGTATTCATATGTGAAATAGCCTTTATTTTATGCTTTTCTATCCCTAATTTCCAAATACATCTCATTTGGTGGTTGTCCCCAAAACAGTATTTATTAAAATTATTAAAATGGTCACAGGAAAAAAGAAAATATCAAATCTATGTATGATTAGATTGATCATCATTGTTTATCTACTTAATGTCCTTATCTACTTAATGTCCTTGTAAAACATCATAATGATGTTTAGAGACTTTAGTTATTTCAATTAATAGTCATCTTCTGAAAATACATTTCAGTGGGAAAAAATTATTAATTCATTATTTGATTCTACCTTAGTGTTTGATAGTATTATCAAATCTTTTTCCATAGCTCTCCTTACAGACAGCTTTATCATCTTGTCATTTTTGGCACAAAGCAAACTATGTTTTATTCAGTTTACCAAGAAGATGGGTTCTCCTGATATAAACAGAAGACTGGAAAAACTTTCAGCCTTGGATTATAAGGTAGAGATTTCAATTTGTACAGTCATATTGCTATTTATTAAGGTATTATAGAATGCCACATGGGTTGATAGTGTGTCCATTATTCTTGAATATTTCCAGATTTCAGAAAACACAGAGTTATTACAGGATTAAGCTTGATTCACTAGAAACAGTGGCCATCCTAAGTTTTCTTTTACTTTTATTATGGGGGGCTAACAATGGCATCTTGGGAACAATTTATGTAATACTTATAGAGGCAAGTTATATATGTGAAAGTGATATTCTTGCTAGTGGTAGTGTGTATCCCATCTCATCTTTCCCTTAGACCCTATGTCATATTTCTAGGCTAGGATAGCTGCCCTGGTTTCCATTTCACAAGAAAAGAAAGAAGGGAGAGGTATTTGCAGAGGTTAATAGAAAAGTGTAATAAACAGGGAGCAGAAACTCCCGCCTTCTCTTTCCAACTCCCAGATACACTGAAGAAAAAGCAAAAAAAAAAAAAAAGAAAAACTCCTTCATGTATTGGTATCTCTCCCTTCACTAACTCCAGGTAATTTGTTTCCTTGTATCAGGGACTTTACATCTGTTAAGGTAGGATTTTTATTTTAAATGATGTGTTTAAGTTTTACCACATTACATTTTAACTGCTTGGAAGGCATACTCTCTGCTGGGATGAGTATCTAATACATTTTCCAGGCTGTTTCAGTTCAAGGCCTCTTTTCAGCAATGACTTGTGTTTGCAAGATTGATCCAGCCTCTGTGACGTGGATTTGAGACAGTTCACTGTTCACTGGGAACAGAGCTGATATACAGCTTCCTTAAAAAAGATGCACCCTATGCCATACCTAGAGTTTCTATAGCAAGAGCAAAGATTTTTAGAAGTCAGTTCCGTGGCATGAAACTTTGTGTATTTTTGAAATAGTGGTATTTAACCTAACTCTTTGCTCTTCTATATTGGTTTTTACTTTTTTTTTTAAGACTTATTTTATTTATTTATGCATACAAGAGCTGGGGTACAGACTAGAGGTGTGGAGGTGAGAGGATTCACCAGAGACAGAGTGGGGAGCAGAACAGGCAGATCGACTGAAATACCCTGTTGAGGGGAGCAGCAGGTAAGACAGGAGAATTCTGCCTTGCCATGTGGGTCAGCTCCCTGGCCAGGGATCAAACTCATGCTGCAGTGGCTGCCAATAGCTTCATAGATCTGAGACTTAACCCCTTGCACTACCAGGGAGGCCCTGTTTTTTTGCTGTGACTGACATGGTAGTAGTATGGGGAGGACTTAAGTTTATTTAGTGAGAATATCTATTCTTATAAGGAAGATGTTAACAAGGGATAAAGTATATTTAAAAATTCATATGATAATAAACTACAATTTGACTTTGTTTGCCAACTTTGTGGAATGTCTGTAATAGTTTGATAATAATGATCTTCAACTGGAAATCATTGTTATCTATTATATTTTGGTTAGTCAAAAAACAGTGTTAACATTCTTAATGCAGTTTTATTTTCTAGAATGACTAACTGTAGATTTACTTGAAATGTTGTTTTTATACCAGTATGCATTAACTCAAACTATTTAAAGTGTTTTTAATGTTCTCTATAAAATTTTGTATAACTTGTTTCTCCCTGTCAAGTGTGATGAATAGCTTGGTAAAATCTCCTCAACTGAAGAATAATAGCTGCCTGTTAATGAGAGCAGAGAGAAACTCATCTTTTCTTATGAAAAAATGTGGAAAAAATGTGGAAAAAAATGTGGAAAAAAAAATGTGGGTCTTTATACCTTAAGTAAGAGAATTACTTTATTAGAATTCTTACTCTTCCTGTCTTTGGATTGGGGAAAGTAGGAATATGATTTCTCAATGTCATTTCTATACACTAGAGAAGTATCCTGCTTCCTTTTAGAAAGTCCAAGAGTTTTGTTTTTTGGTTCAATATTTAAAATATTGATATTTAATACTTAGTGAACACTGTCATTTGTCCATTGGAAGGATAGTATAAGAAATTTATTCATTTTACTTGCCCTTTCACCATTACGATAAAATATCAATGCCATTAAAACTCATGGCAAACATGAAATTTTACAACATAAATGATTTGCATTGTGTAGGGACTAACATCACCAGTCTCTTGTTTCTTCATCTAGAAGTTCATAAGTAATATGGCAAATAGGACATGAAAATAATGTATATTTTTAAAGACTTAGTAATTCCATCCTGATATATCTCAAAGAAGATAGCTAGTTAAATAATGATATTGAGAGATTTTAAATACACAAATTTACACTTCAAAATATCAAGTACATCTGTGTTGTCTGTCATTGCCTACTTGTATTTTAAAACAAGGAAATGGTGTAGAGTATTATAATTCTGCTTTTCTTTACAGCTGTACCATAATTTAATTCTGTTAGATTGAAATAATTTTGGCAAAGAAAATTACAGGGTAAATATCCTGAAACTACTGACCTTTAACAAGTTTTCCTGTCTACATTTTAAAAATTCAATTCAATTTATTTGACAGTGAAGGGACAGTGCAAGGAGTTAAATGTTTACCATGAGAGAACAACACTGGTAATTACTTTGATTTCAGTTCCTTTTCATGTGCATTCAGAGGATGAAGAGGTCAATAATATTATGGCCATGCAAATAGAAAAGGGTTCCTTTTGACCATATTAAAAAAAAATAGCAGAGGATTATTAAAGCATTAACCTTGATTTTAATGGCCTTGGTTGAGTGGTGAGATCACAATTTGGATGAGCCTGATTATTTACTAAATACAATACATAAATGCAACGGGTTCTTAACACCCATTGCACTCTGGCATTATCGCATTACTGCCATCCTTTGTTGCCTTGCAGACAGGAATATGAAAGCAATCTGTCATGTAGTGAGACTGGCTCCAGAAGCATTTCTCTGATAAGAAGACCCCCTGCCCTTTGCTAGTGTCTGGTCCAGTAGGCTTAGCCATGCGCTTAATCCCCAGAAAGTGGTTCGATTATTGCTGACCAGCAATGGCAAGATAGTTTTTTTTTTTCCTTCCAAGCTATCAACCTTCCATTAATTCCTTAAGCAGAAATACGGTGCAATCTATATTTCCTTGGCATGTGTCACCCAGATGGTGCCGTGCTTATGTTTTCAAATAACCATGTTCCAAAATAACATAGTTTGAATAATAAATTCTACAAATCCTTCCGAAGAAAGAGAAGCATAATTCTCAAAAGCTGCATAAACTTTTACGCATGATGCTGTGGCTTATCCCTTTATGCAGAATATGTGTATATGTCTCATATAGTCTTTAAAGTGATATTTGCCTCAAGTTGTTTTTCCTTTTGTTGTCAGTCATTGTTAATATGTTATGTCTTAAACAGTAGTCAGACACTCTTGGTCAGCAGAATTGAACTTGTCATTTAATATGGCTGGTCTTAAATCCTATGTGTAGGTCGATGCTGTCAGGCAACCATGACTGTACATTTTGGTATTGATTGGGATTGCTACAACCAATGCCTCCCTAACTCACATTTCTCCTTTCCTTTCCTCTGCTAAAAATGGGGAGAATATTGAACATATGTCTTTTTTGTATGTGTCAAAAGAATTTGGTAAATTCTGACACCTCCTTAAGCACATGTTTAGCATGGATATTTACTTGCACTCATCTACATTTACAGATGCTTTAATTTTTGTAATACTTGGAGGTTTCATCTTTAAAAAATAATTCTTTTATGTTTCTTTTTTTTTAACCATTAGATTTCCTATTATGAAATACCTGGTCCAGTAAACAGAAATACAAAGCGTCGTCTAGCTATCAATTGTGCTCAGGACATGATTGTTTGCTGGTGGCCACTGGTCAGTGATGATGCTTGGCCGTGGGCCCCCATTTCTTCTGAGAAGAACAGAGCCAATCTGCTGCTCCTGGGTTATGCTCAAGGAATACTGGAGGTAAATCTAAAGCAAGTACATACATTTTATTGATGAGAAAATAAAATAGGATTATTAGTTTTTCTATTCTGAAATAAAATTGAAAATTTAAAACCTGCACTTTATTTTCCTCAAATATTCAGAAAAGGAAATTATGTATGAAATAAGATTCTTTGAATTAATCGTATCTAGAGAATACACAAACAATTTGTGGCTGGCCTAAATAGCACACTGATTAGGAGAAGAGGCTTCAGGATTAAAATCCTGTGTCTGCCACTACCTAGGCTCTTGGCCCTTGTGACTAACCTCTTTGTGTTGTGAATTGTGGGTTTGTTATTTGAAAAGTAGAGTTAAAGATAAATGAGTTAACATGAATTTAGAGCTATAGCTATGTATAGTACACTCCTAATCAGTGATCAGTATTGTGACTCTTATTAATATCATTACTGATAGTCATACTGTTTGCTCAGAATTTCATGCCTGTTAAAGCTGTGCTATCAATCACCTTCAACTTCAGTCAGTCAGTTAACAAATATCAGTTAGATGTTATAATTTGTGCAAGACCCTGTGGTGCTGCACTGTGACTGGGGTGAGAATTTGTAAGGAGGGCTGTCGAGCAATAGTCTTCTTAGTTGAGCATCTACTGCAGACAGGAGCGCCATAGGGTCTGTCTAGGAGACCAGGAAAAATCTTACCTTATCTTTTCCTGACAATGTTTCTATCATCATTCATTATTGCGAACTTATGTGTATTTTCAGTTTGTATCATTTCTTTGAGTATTAAAATCTGTTATTTATAACTTTAAAAAAAGAAAACCTTTCTCCCTCTGCTTTTTAAAAGTTTTTACCTGGAAAGAAATAGTGTGTTCCTTTATTTTCTCTAACTGTAATATTTTTGGCTTTAAAGAGTATTTTTCATGATTAGTATTCTGAGATACAGTCTGCAAGTCCAAGTTTTCTCTAGCCCTACCTACCTCTCCTGATTTTAAAACTTCCAGGCTGTCTTTTAAGACTGGTATGCCGTTGGTTGGTTGGTTGGTTAGATAGTTAGGTCCCTTTTTCTGGAAATTTTCCAATTTGTTGCATTACTTAAAACCACTTATAATACTTTAGGTATGGATTTTGTGAGCCTAAGGAAGTCTCTATTCCTATTCACTTTCCGTTCTTGCCCACCATTCTATTAATATTGGTCCTAAGCTAATTAAGTAAGACTTCATTAAAGTGACAATATAATAAAGCCATAGAATTCTGTTAAATTTCCTGTCTTCTAGTAAAAGTAAAAACAAATGAGCCTTTAATTATGAATTACCTTTATTTGAAATGAGTGCATCATGAAACTGGGACTTTTCTAAAAGGATATACATATGGGCTTACATACTTCATCTGCTGGTCTCATCTATAATAGATCTTGAACTTTCGAGTTGGACAAACCTAGATTTGCCTGTGGTTGGATCATATGCTAACATTGAGCTCAATCAGGTTTATTTCCTCTGAGATGCTGCTTGCTTTTAGTTAATTCTGTTGTCTGTGGCCTTGGGTAGATCATCTACCCTCTTGGCTATAGTTTTCTATCTTTTAAAATGATGGATTAAGCCAGATAGGTCACCACCAGGTACCTGACAGCTCTAAACCATGCTTATCTATATTCTGAAGCACAGATTCAGTTTAGCCATTGCCTGTCAAATGCCTTCAGTGGATGCTGAAACTAAACCCAGTCTCAGCACAGAGAAGTCCACGCTGATTGGCTCTGCAGTACCTTTCCAGTCTCACTTCCTTTTATAAAACTGTGTTCCAGCCTATTGATTTACTTAATGCTTCATTTTTTCCTGACTCCTTTCTGTGCACATTACTGGTGTTTCTACCAGAAAGCCTCTTCCTCTCTTTTTCCACATCATTCAAGTTATCGAGTATGGCCATGAAGTAAGCCTTGCATTTCATTCCAGGGGTAATGAATAAGAAAATATCCATGTTCATAAGAATCTAAGCGTCTACCAATGAGAAACATATAAAAAAATAAAGTAAGGATACTAAAATGTTAAATGATGCTGCGTATAGAATATGTGTAAGCTAGAATGGGAGCCAATGGGTATGATTGATTCTACTTAGAGAGATAGTAAGGACTGAATATAAATAAGTAAAAAGGCTTCACTAAGTACTCAAATAGGACATCTTAAACTATTTTACTATTATTTCTAAGTTTCATATCAAAATTATACTTAGCTCTATGGAGTGTATTGGTTTAGCTTTTATGTTTTATCCCTTCTGAAACAGTACCAAAAATATCTGATACTTTAAGGCTTGGTAAAACTCACTTATCAAACTGCTTCAGTGTGGTGTTTTTTATGGAAGACAGATTTTTTTCAAGGGTTGTTTTTGGAATTTCCATGTTTTCCTTGAGTCATTTTTCTATAATTTGTATTTCTGGAAAATTAGCCATTTTGTCTAAGTATTTTAATAGATTTTCATAAATTTGTATATGATATTTACACATGATTTTCAATCATTTACCATGGATTGCATAGCTAGTGTACCCCTTTTAAAATCTTACTATATTAGTATATATACTACTTTTTTAATATAGTATATATAGTACTTTTTTTTGCAAGAAGCTTTAGTCTTGAATTTGGCTATTTTATATTCATTCTATCAAAATTAAACCATAAAATTTGTAAAGTCTTCCTTTTCAGGACCTCATGTGAACATCAGTATGCAAAAGGTGAATATTTTGAAAGAAATGTCTTGGGAATTGTTTCTTTCATGTGTATTTGCAGACATCTTCAACTGTAAATTATAGCGTTTTTTTAAGACCATGAACTGAAGTAACTATAAAAGTAATATTCAGGCATATCTCTTTAAATTTTTTTCACTAGTGACCAATAGACTTTTTAAATTATTCATCAGAATGGTGGATATATAGTATACTCCTAAGCCTTAACAGTCTAACTAAAAAAGTTGCAGCCCCGTGGAGAAGAAATTTAATTTTTGCATCTATTAAACTATAGGATTCTTAAAAAGCTTTTCCCACCCAAGTTCAGTCAGATAATAAGCTTTTATTTGGACAGTGGCAAGATCCCTGAGTAGTGGCTCCTAGCCTTGGCAACACATTACAATCACCTGCAGAGCATTTACAAAGGGGCCCACCCAGGCAAGTTACATCAGAATTTCTAGAGGGGCAGGAGGCATCTGTATTCTTTTACAGGTTCCCTAGGTGATTCTCATGTGCATCCAAGTTAAGAACCACTGCATTACATACAGCAAACTTAAAAAAAAAAAAAAATTAAAGCCATCCTTTTTGCATAACAGACCATGGAAAGGATAAAGCCCACATACTGAACCAAATGAGAGTTTTAACAGTAGATTCTAAGTAGAAAATTGGCTTACCAAGCTGCTTTTTAAAAAAGAAAACAAAGGAAACATAGACATAGGCTCTCTGTGACGGAATTATCGGTCTTTCAGAGGAGGAACTTTTTTTAATTTATTTTATGGATATTAGATAACTGCTGGTCCAATTTCACACCACAGAGCTCTAAACAACAGTATATATCTTAATTAGAAGCACAGAACAGAAAGTTATGTAGTTTAAGAAAATAATTTCTTTTGAAAAATGTGTAATAGATAATATAGAGAAAAAGAAAAAAATTATCAATAGATAACTTTTAAATAGTTTTAATGGTATTTGTGTGAATTATCATATGTAATAATGGTAGTTGTTTTTATTTAAATCTCACATCATCTGTCTATCTCCTTTTGGAAAGTTAACTATTATCCTAGAACTATATGATTTATCACTTTGTCAAAATTGTTATAACAATATAACTTACTCTTCCTTTATCTTTATATTTGTGAGCAAGTTTTTTAACTTTTCACCTGTATGGATTGGTAATGTTTCCTGAGTATGGTGGTAATTTCTTACTCAGAAAATGTCACCTGAATTTGTTTAACAAATTAATCAAAAAACACATAAGCTGATCTACAAAACCTTAAAACCTGATGTCATGGTTAGAAAAATATAACCTCACCAAGATAAATTTTCCCATAATAATTCAAAACTATTCTTGCAGTAATGTACAAGAGAAGCAACTGGTGCAAAAGTGAAAATGTAACTGGGCCTCCCTGGTGATATAAGGGTTAAGTGTCAGCCCTGTCATGCTGTAACTGCTAAGGCCAGAGTTTGATCCCCACCAGGGAGCTAATCCACATTTGGCACAGCAGACCTTTTTTGTCTCACCCACTGGTCCCCTCAGCAGTGTATTTCAGTCATTCCTCCTGTTCTGCTCCTCACTCTGTCTCTGGTGAATCCTCTCATCCCCCGTACCTCGGGCCTACCCCCAATTCTATACAAAAATAAATAGAATCTTCAAAAGAAAAAATGTAACCAACTGAACCATACTCAGGTGAAGAAATAGAGCCTTATTGACATCCAGAAATACCGTCACATTCTTTGTCATGATCTCAAACCCTTCCTGGTCCCCAAAAGTGGCCACAATCATTACTTTTAATAACTTTCTTGTATACCCATATAGTTTTTAACACCTAAACATGCATTCACAATTGTAGTTTAATATCCATATAAAACACTTAAGTGTGTTTCTTTAATCTCTTTTTACCTCTAAATCCCCCCTGCATCCCTGTCTTTACCTTAAACTTTATTTGTTGAAAATGTAGTGTCCCACATTCTGGACTTTGTAGTTTGCATAAGCTTGTTGTGGTTCAGTGTGCTTGTCTTTTGAAATTCTGCAAGTTAGTAGTCAGTTTGGGCAAGGCTATGTCAGATGGTGTATTCTTTTATCAAAAGGCAAATAATTAGGTTTCCTCTTTCCTTGTTATCTCTCTTTTTGGATGGTAGCAATTGATGCTCAATACCTAGATTTATTCATTCATTAGGGTAGCAAAATAGTGGCACTCTAATATTTTTTTTCATTTATTAATTGATATACAGCTCTTCCTTGGCAAATGGTTCTAAGTCCCAATAAACCGCTTGTGAGTTTAAAGTATCATAAGTCAAAATGCATTTAATGCTCC